ACTTTTAGCCTTCAGCTTCTATGTAAAAGATATGTAACTTGTACATTAGATGGAGCAAGAAGAATTGTACCAGGGAGCAGTCAAGTTCTAGGTCATGTTCTGCAGGAGCAACACATTTTCTACCAATGTAGAGTCAGTCGAGTTGTGTACGCTCGGGGAAGGAAGCTAATAAGCTGCACAGTGAGCTGTGATTACTGGTAAATCCGTTTAGCATATTTACTCTTTAATTTAATTCAAGTTGAGAGGTAGCCTCATCTTCAAGTAAGGGCTTATTTCAGCACTCTAAGGCTTCCGAGAGCTCCAAAGGCCATGATTCTTGGATTCATCTTATTAATTTAAAATTTCTCATGCTTTGAATTACACTAAATGCCTAATTTTCATGGGATAAATGGAAACATTCCAAATAGCTTTCACATGGCAAACATCTTTTTTGAATATGTATTAAATTTCCAGTGTATGCCACATGAATTGATAACTTAATTTTTTTGCCTTTAGGCCAGAAAATATTGTGTTTGTAAGACCCCAAGAATCAGTACCTTCGATCTTAGGAAAAAAATAAAAGCAGGTTTTAGGAAAACAGGACTGGGCTCCAGGCTTCCTGCGGGTATTCACGGCATCTGTGAGCAGGGTCTGCTCTGGGGCCCAGGCTGGCAGCTTCATTCGGTACTGATGATCTGGTGTGGGCGTTCCTTCCCATAGCCACGCCCAGAATTACTGATTCCCACGTGTCTCCACTTGCCTCTTGCAGTCCCTTGTGCTCGGCTAACTCCTATTTAGCCCGCAACACTCCTCAGTTAGGCTTAGTGAGGGGGGAAGTTTTTCACTTTATGTACATTCAATTTTTCAAATTTTTTTCCGTGAGCATGCATTATTCCTTTATAGTTAAAATGACAAGGAAAAGAACTAAAAAAAAAAAAAAAAAAAAAAAAAGAAAAGAAAAGAAAGAAACTAAAACAAGCAAATACTCCCCCAAACCTTCTGTTTGGTTGTCTCCTCCCCAGGAGGTGTTCTGACCGGTTTCCAAATCCTCTTGTCCTAGTCCATATTTATTCATGCCCTTCTTTCTGTGAACTCATAGGGCTTCTCAATTATCCACTATTTAAAATTTACTTTTTAGTTTTTTACTTAAGTATGGTCGGCTTACAATGTTAATTTTTGGTGTACAGCATAGTGATTCAGCAATACCTATATATATATATATTCCTTTTCATTATAGGCTATTACAAGGTATTGATTATAGTTCCCTGTGCTTAACCTAGGCCTTATTTTATACTCTGCGGTAATTATATGTTCATTTCCCCATTATCATCATTAGATTATAAACTCTGCAAGAGCAGGATGTACGGAAGCTGCCTAGATCCCCAACATCTATCCCGGCACCCGGCACATCGGAAGTGCTCAGTAAATTCTCTTAAAGGTGG